CTCTTCTCTTCTCTTCTCTTCTCTTCTCTTCTCTTCTCTTCTCTTCTTCTATCTCCAGGCACTGCCACATCTATCATCATCATCATCTCTTTTATTCATGACACATAAAACTCAGCCAAATGAACATTTAAAAATGTATCACAAATATTGATTGGCGCTTTCCTGACAGTGAGGACAATTAATCAGTGGAACAGCTTGACTCCAGAAGTTGTACATGCTCCAACACTGGAAGTTTTTAAGAAGAGATTGGATAATCATAACCATCTGAAATGCTTGAATAGGGGGGTTGGACTAGAAGACCTCCAAGATACCTTTCTGTTATTCTGTTGTTCTATTACGTAAGGGCTGGGCAGAATTTGAGTGGTGTGAAGCTACTTCTGAGTTGATAACACCTGTAGTAATATAGTTGGATTTATCAAAGTCATTCAGTGGTGTTTCTGGTGCTCTCTGAGCTTAGCAGGTTTTTTTTGCAGATGTTTCATTACCCAACTAGGTAATATTATCAATGCATGAATAAAAAAAGGTAGGTAGGTAGATAGATAGATAGATAGATAGATAGATAGATAGATAGATAGATAGATAATGAACCATTCAATTCCTGTGGATCAACTTAAAAGTCAAATTGTTGATCACACTCTAACAGCAATGAGATACCTTGGATTTGCAAAATGGGAAAAAATCGGCAATGCTCACTCAAAATATATGCCAGTTAAAAAATCCCAACAGCAGTTAAATGTTAATCTGTTCATGCTAAAAAAATATATGTGTGGTTGTAATTTACCGAGGTGTAGAAGAAACCCAGCTTGGTGGTTTGTAATCCCATCCTAGAAAGCTTAGTGGGCTGTTTGGATTCAACAGATTGCAATTGATTCTTTAAACCACAATTCAACCAACATAGGAGCAGCTTACTGTATTGCCCAAACCTGGGTTTTGTGAAGGAAATGATTTCTAGTCACAAGAAAAAATAGCTGATGGCTTCTGTGCACCCTACTGAAGGAAATGCCCCAAAGGGTTAAATTCTGCCAAGTTGCTAGATCTCAGTGAGAATGTCCCCACTGCAAGTCAGTACACACCACAGATCCATTACGTCTGTTTGCTAGATCCAACTGGAGGCGAGTGAAGTGTCTAATTTGGCCGCTCAGTTTTGCGACACACGAAAAAGGGAGCGAGAGAGGTTGTGTGAATGATGCGCACGATTGCTTGCGTTCTGTTTCTTTCTTCCCTGAAGTCCACGTTTACAGTTGTAAATACAGGTCTTTTATACTTAACCGTCAATTCCGTACGTGATTTGTACAATGTCGTTCTATTCTGCTATGGAGTACTTTCATGATGGCCGAACTTTTAATTTTGAATTTAAAAAAAATAAAATGAAATATAAATCTATATCTATATACCCACCTATAATTCCCCACTCCCCCCACCCCCACCCCCCCATTTGCTGACTTGAAAAGGACATTTCAGACACGGTCGGAGAAAATGAAGAGGAAAAAAATAAGCACACGTTGAAATGAGTTACCCCCCCAGCCCTCCCTTCTCTTCCCTGCTTCCATTTTAAGTTATGAACTGCAATGGTTTCAAATATTTGCAGGTGGCAATCTTTCCAGAATTCATCTGGCGTCCAGCTTCTTGCTGTGGTCTTAACAATCTGATGACTTTTCTTGAAATAAAGTGGAAATTATTTGAATAAATCCAGACTGGGAAATTCTTTTTTTTTTCTTTGCTTCGATTTTAAAACTCCCTGCCCTCGCCAGCATTTAGCATAAAGGGTTTTTCAGTTTTCCATTAATCTGTGGAACAGCTTGACACCAGAAGTTGTGGATCCTCCAACGCTAGAGGTTTTCTGAGCTAATATGACTAGAGGAGGAATTCTGGGAGTTGAAGTCCACAAGTCATAAAGTGACCAAGGTTGGAGAACCCTGGACTAGAAGACCTCCAAGAACCCTTCCAACTCTGAAAGTTACTCAAGTAGGACACCCCCATCCTAGAAGAAAGAAAAACTGTTCAAAGTTACGACCGATCCAAGAAAGGGGAACTAGATTCAAATTTTAAAGTACATTACTGAACATTGGCCGCTTGGCAACAAGGCTACATTTTACTGATATTTGCACACGTGACCAGATTTTACAACATTTTTTTTTTTCTGAAAACAGGCACTGATTTCCAGTTTTGGGGAAAATTGCACCCATAGAGAATCAATGGTTTACTTAATGACCCCGTGGTTCACTTAATGGCCATGACAAAAACTGTCATAAAATCAGTCAGTCACACAATAGACCTATTTTATGATTTTCATAACATGCAGCCATAATAAGGATGTCAACTAAAAAAATACTCCTTTGGTCTTTTTAGCTGCCAGCAGAAAAGGGAGTGGGGGAAATTAGTGCATTCCTTAAATGCTTCAGATAATTGCTAGGCAGCCAAAGCTGTTGGCACGCAAGATTATTACTGGAGAGCATGATTGATTATGGATGTGTCCCATTGGAGAATATGCACCCAGGGGCTGGGGAAAGACCAGGGTCAAGGGGGAAATGAATGATGTAATTTAATGTCAGCTGCACCTATGTAATGCAGACATGGTCACTCCTATTAAATCAATTTTTTTTTAACTCTGAGAGATACGGCTAGAGACATGATTTGAATGGGGTTGGATTTGTCAGAGCCCTGACAAAGCAAGCTCTAATTATGGTTGTAGGTCAAGGATTACTTGTACGGATAGTCCTCAACTTACAATTATTTATTTAGTGACCATTTGAAGTTACAACGGCATTGGGAAAAGTGACATAAACCGGTTTTCACACTTACAACCATTGCAGCATCCCCCTGGGCACGGTATCAAAATTCAGATGCTTGGCAACTGACTCATACTTATGACGATGGCAGTGACCTGGAGTCAGGTGCTCCCCTTTTGCAACCTTCTGACAAGCAAAGTCAATAGAAGCTAGATTCGCTTAACGGATGCACGCTTCACTTAACAACTGCAGTGTTTCACTTAACAACTGTTGCAAAAGATGTCATAAAATGAGGCACACTTAACACCTGCCTTGCTTAGCAACAGAAGTTTTGGGCATTCAGTTGTGGTCGTAAGTCGAGGACTACCTGTATGCAAGAACCCGGTTGTGCCCTCATCACTGATCGGTCTTTACAGGAATTTAATAAGATTTATTGATTATCTGAATCTATATGAGATTTATTTAAATAAGATTTATTCATTAATTAAACCAGTTTGGTTAAGTTACAGAAACAGTGATAAACATACACAAATCAAATGACGGCGTATCTCACTCCCACGCTAAGACAAGGCAGGGTTCCCACGACCCACTAAACCCTCAGCCGACCCAACCCAGGTTTAGTCCGTGGTATGAACCAAGCTGCGTCCCTTAAAAGAGCTAACACGGCATAGTTTGGAGACTATGCCGGGTCGAGGCGCCGGCCATCTCCCAGCGTTGCCTAGGCAACCCCGGCGGCCCCCGCGTCATCCTCCTCGCCATTCAAGCCTACAATTCCCGAAAGGTCCCGCGAGAGGAGGAGGGGTGGGGCGATCCCTCGCAGGAAACGGCGCGGTCGGGCGCAAGGGCTGCCCTTGGAAGAGGCATCGCTCCGTCATGGCGCCGCGCACGTTCCCTTTGGTCAAGTGAGTCGGGCGGGCTTAAAAGGTGGTTTTGTAACGGCACAGAAAGGAAACGGGGCCGCGGAGGGGAAAGAGCCAGAGACGGGACACCCCCCCCCGCGCCCCTTCCCCAGTTTCGGGTCCCGGGGATCCTCACGGGGATCCTTAGATCGGCTGAGCCCCTCCCTCCAACCTGCCCTCCAACCATCATCGCATGTCATAATTATGCTTGCAGAAATACAGCAGATTCGTTTTATTTAGGTAACCCAAATGCACGGAAGCTTTGCAAGGGATTCTCAAGATATTCCTGGTATAGGGTGGTATAACAATAGGTATAGTGATAGTAATAGTAGAGAACCTTGGAGGTCTTCTAGTCCAGCCCAGTATAGAATGGTATAGGATTTTCTGCTTGAGCAGAACTAGTCCAGGGGGCTGGACTAGAAGACCTCCGAGGTCCCTTCCAGCTTTATTTTGATTCTGGTTTTTCTTTCCTTAAGACCCCGGAGGGAAGGAGGGAATTCTTTTTTTCTTTTTCTTTTAAATATTTTTTTTTATTTTTAATACAATCTTTCCATCTTCAGTTGAATAGTGTGTTCCCTGGATACAAACATCTTTGTTAAACGATCATCAAAATTACAACATCCTTCGTTATGTATGAACTCTGTAATATTTAACACAGTAATATCCACCTATTGATTATACTAATTGATTATACAATATTAACATATAATAGTATGGAGTGTGAAGGACGTATGTTTGTGTTTAATTTCATGGCCATGATGTGCACTGAAGATGGTGTTTGATTTCGTTGTACGAGGTGCAACGACAATAAAACTAAAAAAACTAAACTAACTTATCTCTTTCAACACATCATCTTTTATTTTGTTTCCCTAGCTTCCATTTTTATTATTTAACCATTGATAGAATAAATCCCATCTCATGTAGTTTGCTCAGTTTGCTCTTCCTCCTTAATTGCCAGTGTTGATTTCCACACATTCTCATATTTTCCTAATCGCATTCTCGTCTGTAGGTATCTGGAAGGAGGGAATTTTTTGCCCCTACCATCCCCTGCCCCATAGAGTCTTCCACAGGGAGACCTTTAGGAAAAAATATTTTTTGCAAAACGTTGGGCAAAATTGCCCTGTTTTCCTTTACCTCTCGTCCCACTCGATCCCTAGCCAATTTATTTATCGATTTTATTTGATTTATATTGCTGCCTATTCGTCCATGGCGACTCGAGGCGGCTTACACAATGTAAAATCATATTTAAAGCAAAAAATAAAAATAAGAACAAGAAGAACTAACAAAAAGAATCAAATAAATTAGTAAAGTACAATAGAACAAATTTTTTTGTGTGGGGGAACCAACTCCTATCTCCCCGCCCCGATGACAGCAGATCACACTAGCCATTTGATGGGCTCTGTCCCTCTGTGGGTTCCCCAGGCCCGCTGGCAAAACCAGGTCTTCAGTGCCTTTCGGAAGAATATTAGTGAAGGGGCCATTTTAATCTCTGGGGGAATGACGTTCCAGAGAGACGGAGCCACCACGGAGAAGGCCCTTCTTCTGGGTCACACCAGGTGTATCTTCCTCAGGGATGGGACCCGTAGCATTCTCTGCCTCCTCGCTCTAATAGGTCAAGTAGATGTCACTGGCAAGAGATGTTTCCCATGAAGGGCTTTCAGGTGACAACTAGCACCTTGAATTGCACCTGGAAGCAAATTGACAGCCAATGCAGCCTTCTGCAGGAGAGGTGATACATGTGCACACCTGGGTCTGCATAAAACCATGCGGGCCGCTGCATTTTGCACCAACCAATTATTAGTCCTCGTCTTACGAACCACCCTGGAGCCCCAAATTTTGGTTGCTGAGTTAATCGTCAGTTAAGTGAACTTTGCCCCAATGTTACAGCCTTTTGTGGCCACCGTTGTTAAGTTAGGAACATGGTTGTTAAGTGAATCGGGCTTCCCCATTTTGACTCGGCTGGTCAGTAAGGTCCCAAAAGGGGATTGTGTGATCCCAGGGCACCACTACTGTCATAAATAGGAACCCGGTTGTTCTTTGTGTCCAAATTTTTACCTCGTGACTATAAGGATGCTACAACGGGCATACGTGTGAAAAATGGTCATAAGTCACTTTTTTCAGTCACTAATTTTTTTTTCTTTTAATGATCCCTTACATGGGGTGGAGTTGGGGCAACTGAGTGGAGCTGACTGGCCAGGTGCCCTTCCTGTCACCAGTGCAGAGTTGGCAGCAGATATACTCCCATTGTGCCCAGAGAGAGAAATATCTGCCGCTACCTAGGATCGAACTCACAGCCTCCTGATTGTGAGGCAAGAGCTCCACCTCTAGGCCACTGCATCACTCGCTGAACTAAATGAACTGTTCTAAGTTGAGGACTAAGTTGTATTGCTATTGATTAGGTCAGTCTTGGCCACTGTAATGTGTGGGCTTCGACTCCCAGAAATCATGCTACAAGGGTCATAAGTGTGAAAAAAAAAATGGTCGCGAGTCTTTTTTTTTTTCAGCGCTGTTGCAACTTTGAATGGTCATTAAGTGAACTGGTGTAAGTCGACGACAGCCTGTACAACGTCATGGCCTCCCTTCTTTTATGTGAAAATATTCGGCCGTTTGGCAGCTGTAGACAGAAGGGTTTTGGGGAGGGGGTCTTCTTGTAGGTCTATCATATCCCGCCCTGAACATACCTCTAAAAGGTATGTTGAGCTGCGGTGGTCCCAGTGGTCAGAGTGCAGTACTGCAGGCTACTTCTGCTGACTGCAGTTTGGCAGTTCAAATCTCACCAGGCTCAAGGTTGACTCAGCCTTCCGTCCTTCTAAGGTCAGTAAAATGAGGACCCAGATTGTTGGGGGCAAGAGGCTGACTGTAAACCACTTACAGAAGGCTGTAAAACCACTGTAAAGCGGCAGATAAATATAAATGCTAAGTGGAAGGGAAGAGAAGGAAAAGGAAAAGACCGTCGTAGCACAGTGGTGGGAATGCAGTATTGGAGGCTGACTGCCCACTGTCATCAGTTCGATCCTGACCGGCTCAGGATTGACTCCTTCTGAGGTTGGTAAAACAAGGACCCAAGATTGTTGGGGGCCACAGGATGACTCTGTAAACCGCTTAGCACTGTGAAAGCGGTATGTAAGTGCTATTGCTAAAGGGCCTTTTATATTTTTCTCACTCAGGTTGACGGCCAAAGCAGGACTGGCCGGCGGTGCCCTTTACCTGGTTTACTCCCAGGGGCTGCTGGGGAGCAGCGATAAAGGCGCCCACGCCCTCCACAAAGCCAAAGCAGCTGTTCCTCCGGCAGTGGAAGAATGGACAAAGTATTTCGGTTGGCAGGTGAGCCCAGAGCATCCCCTCTGGTCATCTTCAGGCCTGACGCAGGTCGTGGATGGACCTCGGGGGTCTGATGTGGGGGGGCTGCCGTCTTCATAGGAGTGGGGTCACCAAAGGGAGGTGCAAGGTAGGAAGTACAGGCAGTCCTCGATTTAACCACAGTTCGTGTAGTGACCGCTCAAAGTTACAACGGCGCTGAAAAAAAAATTGACTTCGGACTTACGACCCTTGCAGCATCCCCGTGGTCACGTGATCCAAATTCAGAATCTTAGCAGCTGGTTCGTATTTACGACGGTTGCAGTGTCCCCGGGGTCACGCGATTCCCCTTTTGCAACCTCAAAGTCAGCGGGTGTCAAGGTATTGAGATTTAATAGCTGACCAGCTGCTGTAAGGCTGGTGCAATGCGGATGAATCAGCATGGTTATTGCCGCTTTAAGACTGAGGGTGGGTCCTCAGGGTTTTACCACTTTAAGAAGCTGTATATATAAATGTGGCCATGAGAGGACGTATCTCTCCTCGAGTTCTATCTCCATTGTAGTTCTCCGTGTAGAGTTGAAAATCGATTGCTTGCCTGGTATGCGGCTAATATGTGTATGTGTTACATAGCAGCCTTGTATATAAACCACTGTTAAAAGACAGAGCCTCTGTGCTGTGTTTCGCTCCTGAGTTGTCTTACAAATAGTAGTCACTGTCAACTCATAAAATATTTCGGTGGTCTTTTTAGAGTTGCCAACAGAAAGGGAGGTGGGAGCAGTGCAGCAGCTTGGAAACCGAAAGTGCATTCCGTAAATGCTTTCAAAGATAATAACTAGGTGACTGAAGTTTCTGCTTTGCAAAATTCTAACGGGAGAGTGTGATTGATGACTCTGGGCTATGGAGGTGTCCCGTTGGAGGATATGAATTATGATACACCCAGAGGGGTGGGGAGGAAAACCAGGGTCAAGGGTGACAATGAATGATGCGTTTCAGAGTTGGCTATACCCAGGTAATGCTGGACAGTTTAACTCCCAATAAATCCTTTTCAAATTTTGGAAGTTTAGCTCAAGACTCGGGATTTAAATGGGGGGTAACTGCCGGAATCCTGACAGTTACATTCAAACACTCTGACAGTGGGGAAGCCAGATTCACTTAACAACCATGTGACTGACTAAACTGCAATGATTCGCTTAACAACTGTGCCAAGAAAGGTATAAAACAGGGCACAACTTACTTAACAAATGTCTGACTTAGCAGCATAAATTTTGGCCTCAAGGATGGTTGTAACTTGAGGATGACCTGTATTAGAATACAAGTAGTCCTTAACTTACGGCTGTTCATTTATGACTGTTCAAACTTTACAACGGCACTGAAAAACGTGACCTAGGACTGGTTCTCACACTTATGACCGTTGCAGCATTCCCAGAGTTGTGGGATCATCTTTCGGTGCTTGGCAACAGGCATATACAGGGAGTCCTCAGCTTATGACCACAACTGAGCCCCAAATGTCTGTTGTTGAGCGAGACATTGGCTAAGTGAGTTTGGCCCCATTTTACGATCTTTCTTGCCATGGTTGTTAAGTGAATCACTGCAGTTGGTCAGTGAGAAACCCGGTTGTTAAGTGAATTGGGCTTCGCTATTACACTTTCCTTATCAGAAGGTCGCAAAGGGGGATCACGTGACCTTGGGAGACCACAACCGTCGTAAGTATGAACCAGTTCTTAAGCATCTGAATTGGGATTGCCGTGACCCAACGGGAGGCTGCAAAGATTGTAACCATAAAAAATGGTCCTTAGTCCCTTTTTTCAGAGCTGTTGTAACTTTGAACGGTCGCTAAGTGAACTGTTGTAAGTCGAGGACTACCTGTATATTATAGTTTAGGGGTCTCCAACTTTGGCAACTTGAGGGACTTCAACTCCCAGAATTCCACAGCCAGCCAGGAAGTCCCACAAGTCCTCAAGTTGCCAAGTTTGAAAAGCCCTGGTAAAGTTTTTCTATTAATGGATTTTTTTGGCAATAGTTTTACTTTGTTCTTTTCTCCTTGCGAAATCGGTAGAATTTGAACACTGTCATATCCGTGTATCTGCCCTTTTTTTGACGGAAGAAAAACGATCCGGGGGGTGGTTTTGATACAGTTCATTCTTTTTCCGCTCGATGCAACCTAAATATCTTAATTCTTGCATTGAATCTGTATAACCCTTTTCCCGCGATTTATAACCGTTAACCTGGCGCCCCAGATGCCTGGAACATTCTCAGACTGTAAGAGAAGGGGCCATATAGATTCCAACACCAGAAGAAAACTCCTGGGAAACGTTTCCTTAGCTGCTTTCTCGGAGACGAGGGGAAAATAACATGTTTGCACCTGTGGATTGGTGGAATCCACATCGGACTACGGAGAGGGGTTCTAATTCCCTTTATCGGCCCTGCATGCCCTGAAGGATATCAGAACCTGCTTTGAATTTTGACTTGCTTTTTCCTTCTTCAATAAAAGATTCCTTTTGAAATACAACGTTTTCAAGAGTTCATACTTATTTTTGAAGAGGGGGAGAGAAACCGGTCCTTACGACAGCACTCTCTCTCTCAACCTTCGCTCAGATCTAACCCTTTCCTGGCAAATATCTCAAGTCTATTTTTTGTCTTTCGTTTCTGCAGCTTCCAGCGGTTCCAAAAACTGAATTTTCCCTCTGCAATGCCTGGAACTCAGGTACAGTGGGCTAGTATAGATGGATACCTATCCTGCCCGGGATTGCAACCGCTTTTTAAACCAGGTTTCTTCAAAGGTGGGGCAGCCATGAGGACCTTGTTAAAAAGTGTGGCTAAGAAAACCAAGGCTAAGGGCAGGAGTGGAATTCTACCGGTTTGGAGCGGTTCTATAGAACTGGTTGTTACGATTCTGCGCAGTTCGGAGAACTGGCAAATAGTGCCCCTGGCTGGCCCTGCCCCTCCCCGCCCAGTTATAGTCCTTATCGTGCATGCACAACATCGCTGACTGCGTTCTCCCCTACCCAGTCACTCCTTAAGGTATTTCTTTTTTTCTTCCTCCCGACGATCAGCTGTTCTGACGATCAGCTGTGCTGGGATCCCCTTGCTGTCTTATTTCTTCGCCCAGGCGGCTTCCCTGAGGCTCAGGAGGCCAAAATAATGGAGCGCGGGGTGTGTGTGTGTGTGTGTGTGTGTGCAAAAAAGCCACGCCCACCCAGTAACATGTCCACGCCCACCTAGCCACGCCCACCTAGCCACGCCCACAGAACCGGTAGTAAAAATATTTGCTTTCCATCCCTGGCTAACGGGTGTGAGGTTACGTGCACTTGTCGACGTTCGTTTTGTTTGGTGTTAGCCGAGCAGCCAGTGGCCAGATGGGGTGGCCTCTAACTCTGAGGTGTGACTTTTCTTCTCTTTTAAGAATTTTATTTTATTTTAAAAAAAAATGAAAGAAGGTCAAAATACAACATTTCAACAGAAGAAGAAAGATGGAGGTTGGGAACAGTAGGGAACGTTTTCAATGCAGGATCCAATCTGGGTCGATCACCAGAACTTCTCTTGGGCTAGGAAGGAAAAAGATGGGAGATAGGAGGGAGAAGGAAGGAAGGAAGGAAGGAAGGAAGGAAGGAAGGAAAAGGAGAGAGGAAAGAGAAGGAAGGAAGGAGATGGGAAATAGGA